TAAAGATTTTCGTTCTTCTTTTTGACTTAGTGCTACATATTATATTGCAGTTATATTAACATTGATACCTTTCTTCGCACTATAACTTCTAAAACTATATAAAAATGCACACATTTTTYATGGAGGTAATCTAACTTGGTATTCAAATTTGGTCCTAAATTCTGATAGTTTACATAGTAGATTTTCCATTATAAACACAAACCTTCTCCAAAGTTCAATTTCTGATGTAATCTRTATCTTTCAATAATTGCCGTATTTAAGAATCATCAAATATTCCAACTTTCAACTTTTCCATACTATGTTCGGAAATTTTTTACATATACCACTAAAATAATGTGCTTTCATGGGATAGATGTTTCACCGTCTTACTAACATCCATTACTAGATAGCACCGACATCTGGATATTTAACGACTTCATTATTTCTGAGTAGACTGTAATCCTAGATAACTCCTTGTTTTATTTTTAGTAAAACCGAAAAGTTTCGTATAATTTGCGGCATCGGCCGATAGCTTGTGCCTTTAAAGTGTTATATTATATATGTTATTATTTATAATTATCTTCCTGTTACATAAATAAATAAATACATTTTTTTGAAAGGCCTGAGAGTGGGGATCACGTGATGTTTGTATGCAAGGAAGAAGGAAGGAAGAAGAAGGAAGACTTATCATGACTGCAAATCTAAATTTTTATTATCAACAAGCCAATATTCAACAAAACATTAGATATTTTCTTAAAATCCAAAGTGCATTTTCATATTTTCATGAAAAGGGTCGTAATATGGACAATTATAGCATCAAAACTTGCTGAGATATCCAGGGCTAATTGACCGATGTAAAATGTCTTGTTAATAAGTTAGTTTTGCAAGGTACTATGAAATAAGGTACTATGAAATAAGGGTCACACGAATAGGAATATTTGGAAATTTTATTTTTTCTTTTATTTTATTTTATTAAAGCTTACATAATAAACAAATTATTAAATAAACTAGAGTACGCAGCGCTAGCATCAAAGGCTTTCGGCTGAGGAAATTAGTTTGCTGGTTTTGAGCAAAAAGAAATTAATTATAGTTGTGTGTTTGTTATATTCTATTCGGTTAAACTTCTTCTACTTCTCATTAGAAGCAATTGTGTGATTCTGATGTCTATATTACTGATGAGAAAACATCATTATTGCTGGAAAGATATACAATAAGCRGTTTCGACTAGAATTAGCTCATTTTTACTTACAATAAGGAGATGAAAACGAAATTATAATTTTCTATAAGTAAATGAATACATAGTATAGAATCTATGTAATCATCTTTCAAGTGCGAGTAAATACGATTTATTCTCTTAATCAAATGTCACTTTTACTAATTAAATCCACATGTCAAACAATCTGTAAGTGTAAGTGAATAAATTAGAGAAATTAACACTTGCAAATGAAAAAAAAATGCTGGGGATTAAGAAGAAGCACGGAGAGCGTCAAAACGAGAAAGTGGCATTCTAATTTTGYGTGAAAAGCAAATTGCAATCAAGTGAAATATTTTAAGCTTTTTACTAAGAAAAGCAGAATTAGTGGAAGTTCTATTATAATTCAAATCTGAAATCTTATAATTGTGATTTTGTTGAAATTAATATTTATTAGTAAGAGGTTTGCAGCGGTAAGTTGCAACTGTATCGCAATAACTCTTTTTGTACACTCGCAACATGTTGTTACAGAGTATAACAGTTTTGTTAATTTAACGGCTGTTTGTATCACCTAAAACTAATCGAGATAGATATACGGTTATAAATGATCAGAATGACGAGAARAGTTGAAATCCGGGTGAGTGTCTGCACGTYCGTCCGTCTATGCAAGCTGTAACTTGAGTAAAAATTTAAATATCTTGATGAAACCAAGTTCGCCGGCACCCAAGGTAGATTGAAATTGCATATAAGAACACAGCCATTCAACGAAATTCTTTAAGATGTCAACTGAGCACTCAAAAAAGATATAAAGCTGAGATTTGCTAAAAGGAATCGTAGTAGCAAGGACCACCTGCGGGCTGAAATAAAAAAAAAAAAATGGATGMCCTAAACTTTTTAAAGAACATATCTTCCAAACCATTAAAACTAAATTGACCAACCTTACTGAAAGGGAGATCTTTAGCTCCTCTTCATAGGTATATCGTGAATATGGGTAAAAACAAAATGTATAACGGTTATGTTGAAAACTRTTAAAAGTGCGATAAYATACCAATAAACGCGCCACATGCCTTAATTTCACAACCAAGATGAAAGGCAAGGGCTTAATAGGAATCGGTGCAAACATGAGACAATGCACGTGACCTGCATTCTTTTCTTTGAATTACTATAGGTATATTCGGAAATACTTGATAAATTTCATTCAAATTTGATGTGTGATGTTACCCAATCATACCTATCGTAAAAAATATAGTATCGTAACAATAATCGAAATCTATTAACAACCAGGCCTATTTCCCATATAACTCGACTATAACTTTTCAAGAACCCAGCACTAAATATGTGACGGTTTAATGAATTATCAATTCCAACTCGACATTTTTGGAAAAAAAAGCTTCAACTACAGAATCTAACCTACATTGTCACCTGAGGCAAGAATTTTTGAGTGTTGGAACATCCGAAGATTAATCCAAGTATTGCATTTTTTTTTGTGTTTTTATGGGAATATAGAATAAATCTCTTAAAATAAATTAATGGTCTTTTTTTTTCAAAACAAGTCAAACTAGCAACAGTTGATTGATTAAATAATAATGACAGTGAGTGGGGTACTTACATATGTTAACCTCTCAGAGRGGAGATTAAGGCAGATGAGTATTAAAAACCAATAAATCACAGAAATTTGTAAATATTGCTCCTAACTAATATAAGTAAATTAATAGAAGTACAAAGTTCATCTGATAACCTGTTTTTAGCTAAATAAAGTCACTAATTATTTACATAACCTCCTAGATTCCTAGAAA